TTTCTTTTCTAATCTTTTTATAAATCCTGTTTTTCTATCTTAGCTTTTCATTCTTTGTGTCATCTGCAGTGAATTACAGAATAAACCGAAACAACGAAAGCCCAAATTACACACTCATACAGTTAAAAACAGATATCGTTACTTAAAATTCAAATTAACAATTATATGGAATATAATTAAAATTTCAATGTATTATATCTCAACAAGTAAAACACTCATATTTACATTTTTAAAAAAGAAGCAAGATTACACAAAAGTTTAATTAACAGTGCTCAAAAGCATTTTTCAAATTACAACTGCAAAAACTGAAATACAAAACTGGCATCTTCGAATGCACATATAGTTAACGCCACTAAAAAATTCATAGCAAAGCGAAAAATTTTTAATTAAAGAAACAAAATTGAACATTCCGAACAATAACTACAAAACATTGCTTCAAAAAAAAATCTGAATACCACAAAATGCCCAGACATTGTACAGAAGGCATTGAACAGTGCTACACTTCATTTTAAAGATGGAAAAAACTACCTAATTCATATTTCTAAACTATAAAAATACTGTCAAAAGGAAGGCACAAATTCAGATGGTGCATAATTAACTGCTTGGCTGATATGAAATGATAAGATAGCTAATTAAGAGCCTTTTCCTATCAAATCAAATTGATTACAAATACAGTTATTCGTACAATCATATATAGATGAAACATACAGCTATCGCTGCTAATTTATCTCTCGAACAATCTAACTACTTCATCCTACCATTTCAATTTAATTTGATTCTGTTCCACATCAAATGACTCTATCAAATTAGAATTACACTAGTTTCTGCACACTGCAAATTGTTTGCCATTAAGCATTCTTATCATTTCATTTCTCACAATTTAGAATGCTCGAAATAGTCACAACCAATAGTAACGATAGCGAAGAAGGACAAATACTCAACTGAATTTTGATTTATTCCCATCAAATTCCAATTGTTCTCATATTAAAAAATACAAGCAAATAATCAAAACAAAAACAATCCACTAAACGTAATTTACAGCTCTCAAAGACAAAATTACGCAGACAGATTGACAACAACTTTTTTAAATTATTCTACTTTCTCATATATTTTATCCTTTTTATTTCCACAATTTTCCTGGTTTTCTTTTTTATCTTTTTCTATTTTTCTTTTTGACATCTTTTTTAATCCAACTTCTAGATTTTTCCATCATTTTTTCATCCTTTGTGTCATTCAGAAACACAGAATGAAGCCAAACAATAAAAGCCCGCCAAAAATAGCACTTCAACAAACGTATACAAAATACAAAACAACTCTCACTACCAGTTTATATTCTTCAGAAAAAAGTCACTAATGACCAAATTTGGACTATTCTTTTTTCCTCTATTTTCTCGTCATTTGTTGCTACCTAAATACATTAAAAATGAGCAGTACAGCACACAACAGCGAAAGAAGATAACAAAAATTTTGAACTTGAAGGCAAAAGGAAAACTTTCTCAATACAATTTGAAGAAACAAAATTTGCCTAAGCACCAAGACAGATGGCACTGAACAGAGTTACACTGGATACAAAAATATTCGTTACTCGAGGAAATACAAAAACACAGTTAAAGGAAAGAAGCAATTGTAGATAGTGCATAATTAGTCACTTTGCTAATTACATGTCATTTTATATTAAATAAAATCGCCACAAATACAACTACATATGCACTAATCATGGGCTGTCTCTCTCTTAATCTCAATATTTAAATCCCCATCATCTCTGTTTAATTATAATTTTGTCTTGCTCCAAATAACTCATATCAGGAAAATTCTACTTAGTAACTCAATAACTTGTACAAATTTGAAATCAGATACTTCAGTTAATTACACTTTCAATTCCTTACCTATAGCAACTACAATAAAAAATATCCTTAACTGAATTTTTACCTGAACTGAAATATGGGTTCAGATCAAAAATTCAGTTGCTTTCACTAAAGACAATTATTCAGAAGCAAAAGATTATACTAAACAGAATATAAAACAACGTACTGAAACAACGTTGAAAGGGGTGGATGACAGAAAAGTTTTTTTCGATCAACCACATCTCATTTGCGTTCTTTAATCTTTATCTTTTTTTATTAATATTGTTTGCATTTCTCTTTTCTCACTTTTCTTTTCTTCTTTTCTCTTCTTTCTTTTTCTTACTTTTATGTCATCCAAAATAAACTGAAGATAAGAGCAAAACAACAAGCAACAACAGGACACACCTATAAACACATACATACCGAGTCAACTATCGTTACCAAACCACATTCCTCGCAGTCTCACGTGGAATGCGTTTCGCTTACAACTCAACTTCATAACTCATATACTAAGACAACAGTTCACTTCCACCCACAAATTGGCTCACTATCTTCACAACCAATCGTGACATGTGGTAACGATAGCAGAAAATGAAAACAATCACTTCTGCACTTGAAAAAATAGATATCATTTACCTTACAGAAAGCTGTCCTCAACAAGATCCTCCAGGTGAATGAATCAGCGATAATAATAGCGGTAAATCCTGCGCGTGAAGCCAGTGCAGGAAGACGCGAGCAGTTGAATTCAGCGGCGCCAACAGAACCAACGTCTCCGAATGTAGTCGATAACAAGAAATAAGACAGTTTTGACAGAATTATTGCTCTACACCTCTTTAACAGAACTGCTGATCTACGCACATTTAGTAGACCTATTGCCCTACTCATCTGTGATAGAGTTACTGCTCTTCTAATCTTAGATATAATTATTGCTTTACAATATTACCCATCCCTATTCTACTAAATAAGCAGTCCATAGTAAATAACTGATTGTCAGCACTGGATGACCTACCAAGCCTCCACTTTCTGCAACAAAGTGTAGATCACTCTGCGCTTATACCATCTAATGAATCTACAAAGTTACGCGAAAAAACTTCTTGTTTTGACTTCAATAACACATTATCCAATTCAACTGTTTATAGATAAAAACGATTCATTCGAAATCATTTTCCATTATCTTCTCACGAACCTCACATAAAATTGATTGAATCACAAACGGATGGAGACAGAGTTTCCGTCTGTCTATTATTTAAAATCATTTATTACGGAGAGGTAGAGAATAGTTGAGACTGAGAAAGAAACACAAAGCACACATACTTGTTGAGAAGAGTAAAGAAGAGCACGTAAAGAGTGATGGCAGTAGGATGAATTAGTTATCTTTCTACTCAAGAAATGGATGAACTGCTGAGTAAGTGCTGAGTGAGTGGAATTTCTAGAAAGAAGCTTAGCAAATTGGCTGATTCTCTCGTTAGTTATATATTTTTGTGAATGGTTGATCAGAGGATAGTTGACGAGCAAATCAATTTTGGGTTTTTAACATATTTCAAGCCATCACTTTACTGCGTGAAACGAATTAATTATATTTAGGGAACATAGGAGGTGTTCCAACAACATGAGTAAAGATAAATATTGATGTGCATTTTTTTATTTAATTGGCAGCTGAATCCAGAATAGTAATAATGCTAAAAGATCGCAATTGAGACATTTTGGTGCCTTTAGCTTTGTTAGCAAGTTGTAGTGTGCTTAATTTTTTTTTAATTTTAACAAATTTGAGAAACTGGAAGGTCATTTTTTAACCTTTGTTAGTTCCCTTTTTGATAACTATTTGAAAATGCTATTAATTCCATCAACTTCGCTTCTTTATAACGGAATACTGATCAAGATAAGGTAATTGCACTGTACCACTTTTATTTCTTTTATTTCATTGAGATATACAGCTTCACCTATTACGAGATTCAGACTTGTCTAGAGAGAAAAGTTCCAGCAGTGATGTAAATAACTTCAAGATGGATTATGAAAGGTTTGAAGTTTTTATTTAATTTTATTTTCGAAATAAAAGTAGTGATTTTTGCATACTTCCCCAACTATTCAGGCAGTTTAGTCTATTACACACATCTGCACTTGCTTATAAGGGTGAACGCATATTGCAAACCATATTTTGGGTGCTCCAGCAGAAGTTAACTTTTAAATCAGAGCCATCCATACACACTCTCATTTTGTGGCACCACTGTAACACAAACAGGTAGAGTTCACTTTTTGCATCAATCCACTCAATCATTTTATCTTTTCATCACTGCGAGTTAGTGTATTTTTTTTGTTTTATTATTAATTTTTTGATTCATTTACTGCATATTTATTGTAAATAATCTACGTGTATTATTAATGTTTGGCTATATCAATATTGCTCTTCCGAGTTTTCTTGCCATTTAATAACATACGATTTTATGTTTTCTGTACATCACGCACGCTAAGCGCATAACGCACACATTTTATTAGGTTCATAAAATTACAGCCATAAAGTACAAATTTGAGATTGAGAAATATCTCGTCTACGTAGTAAGAATGAGTGACTGATGTCTTGACTGAAATTATCTCTTCAAATGGCAAAACAAGTACCTTGACAGCGTAGGCAGACAACACGGAGGGAATGCGGAAGGGTGGAGAGTAACAGACACGAAACAGCACGTAAGCGGGACGAAAAGCAAGCAGTACCATTTGAATAAATGACCGGTAATGTGATATGCGAGTTTGGTTTATTTCAAGTATTATATTATTTGTTGAGTCATATGAAAATGGATTTATTGAAATATTTGCATCAAACTGCAAACCACACTTTTGAAAGAATAATATAATTGTGTACCTCAAGAAATCAAATGCAATATTGATATAACTACTAAATTTCTGAAACGGCTTCCTCATATCGTTAAGATCACTAAGTTTTCTCTTTTATTATTACGAATTTTTGGAAAATTTTCACTCTATAGCAGATAAGTGATCAGAACGCTTATTTGTAACATAGTGGATATTTTTATGGCATTCGATTTCGCACCTTTTTTAAAAAATTATACCGTCTCTAATTTTTTTGTGAAGCTCAAAAATGTCGAAAAAATTAAACATTAATAAAATGATTACAGTCTTGATCTCATCATTTACGAGCAGAATAATGCAAGTAAATGATAAGACTAGAATGTATGTTTAATGATAGGATTATATTGATATCAACAGCTTGATGAATACAAGTTAACTTATAAGTTGACATATATTCTACAAAAAAACTAAAAAAATTCAGATATGAATTGAAAAAATAGCTTCGGAATAATCGTATAAATAATTACCCTTTTTAATTGACTCTCATTTTATGGTTTCTCTGATTATTTAGATTTTTCTACTTTCACATAAAGCTTTTGAAAAATACAATTTTGATAAATTGCGAGTTTCATTCTCGATCATACAAATTAGCAACTTTATATACGACTAAAATATATGCATGGCATTTGTCATAATCATTTTTCATTTGAATCTTAAATTGACATCAACAAATAGCAATTTCCTATCTGAAGCAAAAAAATATTTTTTAAAGAAAAAAGTATAGAAAATATTTTTTGAAAATTCAAAGCAATTTCGGGTTTAAAACGAGTCATAAAATGTAATTTATTTTTCAAATCTACACTATAAAAAAATAAAGTAAAACTTTTAATAAAATAATTGGAATTATCCGGATTGAAGATCAGACTATGAACAAAATGTAAAGCAAGAATAAAAAGATAAACATACTGTAATTTGTCATAATTTACTGAAACTAGATAGTTGGGAGTTACAGCTTTCATGAAATGAAGAAAAGAAAATCCTGTTTGTTATAGTTAGGCAAAAAGTTGTCATTTTAAAAGCTATAAAGCTTGTTGTTGACGCAAGTTGAGAAAACTGCTCATTAATGATTTTGCTTGCGTATTCGCTTTAGATAGGAACTATGAATCTGTTAATGATTCATTAGTATTCATATAGCTGGAATATAAGTTATATAAAGCTAAGCTTATTTGAACAGCCAGATTTTGATTCAGCGGTCAAATTTTCATCCAATCTTATTGATATATGCTAAATACCTTTCAATCTGGATATTGAAACTGCTTCTAAACTCATACTTTCAATAACAATATATGATCAACTACGACATGCTTCAATAACCGATATATTTAACTATAATTTATACTAATATCCCAGATATTACAATATATTATTACTGTATTATCACTGCAATCACCAATAGTAATAATAGCGACATTAGTGGTAATGTATTCAATATTATGATAATATTGACATTATCATAATATTGTTGTTGTCGCTATTTGCCACTGTCATTTCATTTGTACAATTATTACAAGTCTTTTTAGTTTTGTACTATCATAATCATCATCACTACTTTAATATATTGAATACACGTATTGTTCGAACTGCTTTATTGCCGTATTCCTTTAAAAAAATACAAAATTATATCATTCACAGTTGCTTAGGCAAATTATAATGCTAATATCAGTAATTCCCACTTTACACTACCATAATTGTTTTAATTTTTTACCATCATGCAGGCTTCACTTAAAATGCAAGTATCTACCTTTATGAATCAGTCAGTTATCTAAAACCCTTTGTCTGCAACTAATGATGCATTTCTTAATCAGAATAATAAACATTAAAAAAATGGTTCTAACAGTATCATGGTCACCAATAAGATATTGCAAATAAAATACCATTCATATCTTTTTTGATTGCAATTTAAATATCTGACTGGTATGATGCTTTAATTAACTTGAAGTTCATCATATAAATAAGATCACTAATTAATCTCATTTACTGTTCTCAATCTTACTTTTTTCACCATTCCGCTTACTACTTGCTTATATTTGTTGTCATGTAATGAAACCTACCATTGCTCTCTGATCACTTTTTTACTATCACTGATTCCTACATAACTACTACTTGTTTTGGTATACTACTTACTACTAATGACTGCTTGCTTACTATCACTTACATGGTGATCTTCTCTGATCAGAGCAATATGTTGGAGATTTTCAAATTTATGCAGCAATCACTATGCAACCTTCTGTGATAACTA